CAATACAATATTATGTTCGTATTACAATGGTAGGTATTACGATATTTGGTTATTACTTCTTAATTTATTATTTATGCAATTATGGTTCTTAGGGTTACAAATAATAATAAATCTCACTTTAATCTGTTACTATAATATTATATGGTTTTTAATCTTTATCTGCCGCTTGTAATTGGGATTCACCGACATGGTGACATACCTACTAGAAAGTGAATCTAGTTGGTACACAGGTGGGGAGGGTCAAAAGTAAAAATTTTTCAAAAACAAAAGAAAAATTAAGGAAGAACGGGAATTTTTAAGCAAAATCGGAAATCGATTTTGATTTTTGGTGCAACTCTTAAACAAATGACCTTAGGTACATGAAATTTTGTTTGAATGTTTATACATATTAGCATTTTTTATACACTATAACATTTTCCAAATATTTTGACTTATTTTTAAATTTTTAGTTTTTTTCCTATAAATATCAATACAATATTATTTGTTGGTTAAAAAAGCTTGAAAATGTAATAGAAGGCTCCTAGTACATTGTTTCAAAGGCAGATGAAAAAAATTAAAAATACAAAGGCACAATTTAAATTTATCAAAATTTATCAAATTTAATAATTATTTTGTAGTTAAAAATTTATAAAATGTTCAACTTTTATAGCCAAGGTCAAGGATTGAAAATTTAAAACAAGGTTCCACATAAATAGGTTATATAAAAATTACTTTATACATAATAATATCATCAAATATACCTAGTAATATTATAGGCTGACTGACCGTTTTTGCTCAGGATCGTTTTTATTATACAATGATACTATATCATTGCATTCAAATTTAACACCATCCATTTCAGTGACCCACTTGTAAGACTGTAACCTATACTGTACAGCAGAGCAACACCCATTTGCCCAATTGCCCACTTTTGTTTTATTTATTTTGCAGGATGTCAAAACACTAAGAAATATAACCCGGTTGGGTCTTAATGTAAAAGTAATAATGGGTGGTTTTATCGGGTTTTTTTCAGAAAAAACAAGGTTGGTTTTATTAGAAAAGTAATAATGGGCGGTTTTAGAAACCCATCCAAAAAATTTGAAATTTTTTCCATGGATTAGATGCACTGACGCACTGTTTTTTGATCTTTCCCTTATCTATTACTCTATTACCAAGTATTTGTTATTTTGTTAATTTTTAATTTTTGTTTAGATTATTTATTAAGTATTTACAGGAAAGTTATGTATTTAATACCTTATTAAAAATAAAATATTGTTAACATTTCTATTGGCCGTTGGTGTGTAATTTTTTCAATTTTTTATTTTAAATTGTACTTACAGGTACCTAATTAAAAAAATAATTATTAAATATTTTACAAATCAGTTAAATACTTTTCTTTTTTTTTATTGAACAATAATGTATATTTACAATCAGTATTTACAAGTTATACAATAAGTAAATGGGATGTGGTTTGATTGACGGAGGGGGAAGCCACCCAATGGCGGCACCCCGTAGTTTAATACTTAATTGAAAAAATAAATAATACTTATAAGTTATAAGTAAAGAAATTTTTCTGAAAATTAACACAAATTAAAAAAAAAAATAAGAGGGAATTTCTATTTTATCCAGAAAAGTAGCCCGGGTTTTATGGGTTTTTTTTTTCAAAATAATGAGTGGATTTAACCCAGATAAGCAGCCCGGGTTTTTTAAAATATCAAGTGGGCTTAACCCAAAAAAGTAGCCCGGGTTTTTTCGTGACAACCCTGGTATTAATTACTAATAATTAATAGGTTAACAATAAACTTCATCGAATACATCAAAGGTTTTTTATTTCGAAAGAAGTTTGTAATGTTGAAAATTGAAATCGGAATATCCAATGTGGCAAGGTATGTCCCAGGGTCTGGTACCTCCAGGTTCTTACGGTTTCGATTCCTATTACGGTACTTAATTTTAATATCATTAGGTACCTATGCAATTATGCTGCAGAGTGCAGAATGTTAATTGATTTGCAAACTATTTTATGCACCACGACATCACGTCAACCGGTTAGCAGATTGTCGTGGTAATACATATTTATTCTAAGACTAAATATTTAAGTAAATTTACAACTCAATAAGGAATATGAAAATAAACTTACGTAAGCATCGAATCTTCCAGTGAAGTCTAGCTGTGTCATATCTACTGAGTTCAGACGTGCGGCTATATACCTACTGCGTATAGCCACTGCCGCCAAAAGAACATCAAAGCATTTTCATCCGTCTTCATCGCGCTTTTAACTGGAAATATTTAGATTTTTTATAAAAATAAAATCGTTTAATGACTCGTTCTTCTATTGTTGGCTTTGAAATTATTATAATTGTCTCAGACAGTCAGACGAATGGCGACTATTGGCGTTTGCCAAAGATGATATTAGATATTATTATATAGGCTCGATATAGGTACATTATACTACAGAGCATGAACTAAGATTATCTTAGTTCATGCTGCAGAGTAGGTCTATAGATAAATAAATTATATACCAATGTTCTTTTCTAGAGCTGTAGTTTGTGATCTTATTTTATAAAAATATCAAAATCAACAGACATCGTTGGCAAAATTATGAAAAAGATCGCACACAAAGAGGTGGAAACGAGATTACACAATATTAGACAAATTTGACAAATTTGACCAGGAAGCAACGATCGACGATTCTGGCAAGGCTTTTGTTTTATGCTTCTTAAGTATTTATTCTTCTTTATTCTTTCTTAGTTTGCTGGTGGTCTACAAGATCAAAAATACAAGCCTATAAGTCTACAAGCCATCAACTGGACCAGTTGTGGCGATTGAAGACGACGTGGTTGTGCGAAGCGCAGGACGTCACGCCGGTCAGGGGCATAGACGTGAGAAACGGTTTTCGAAATTTTTTCGGCTGGCTTAACCCGGGGGCAACGACACAGTCGCTAAATGTTTTGTAGAACGCTGGTGCGTTTGTACACACGTATAATATGGTCATATGGAATGAGTATGTTTATGTATATTGCGTCATCTTACACCCTCCGTATTACGACCACGTTGTAAATAACTATCAATTCGTATTTTTATTTAATTCAAATCTAACACCATCCATTACAGCGACACACTCAACGCCTACCTACTGTACAGTAGAGCGGCAACCCCGCACCCAATTGGCAATTGCCCAAATGTCTTATTATGTTGGTTCATTATAATATTAAAGTTATTTAATTTATATGTACTTATCTGCTTATTATGTACTATAGACTATTGTCTCCGTGGTCACTACAAGTTACGACGTACTTAAGTTACCTACTTAAATTTTTTTTTTAAATACTTTTATATGAGGTTACAGTGGCGTAGCCAGGAATTTTTTATGGGGGGGGCTAAGTATACAAATACAATGTGTTTTTTATTTACGCTTTTAATTTTTTATTAATCTTGATAAAATTCTAAGGTCAACATCGGTCAATGGGGGGGGGGGGGCTATAGCCCCCTTAGCCACCCCCCTGGCTACGCCACTGTGAGGTTACACACCCAAGGTCTTCATATTATTTTATGTTAAATTTTGAAGCTATTTTATGCACATATTAACATTATACAATAATACATAAATCGAAAAAAAAAAAGGCCATCTTGTCGTATGCGCTCTACCCCAGATTGTGGCCTACCTGTGATTACGGGACACTTTTTATATGCGCTCTACCATGCAATTTGTAATAAAGATTAGGACTCTCTTTTTTAGAATTAAAATTACCTACATTCTAGACAAGAAAGCAATATGTTAATAATAATGATCAGGTTTAAAATAAAATCAACACATATTTCTTAATGCTATATTGTACTTGTACTTTATTTATAATCAAAGCTAGGATGCCATTTAGAAACAACTATTAATTACAATAACACTAAAATAATTAAAAACTAATATTGTAATTGGTTTACATATCTAACAAGAGTATATAAATGTTAACAATAGTTTATTTGTTAATTGCATAACAATCAACACCACTCAATATATTTTAGGAATAAAAAGTGCACATGCTTACAATATATCTGGACAACTGGCACACAATATTAAATTTAAATAATTTTATACTTCCACGGTCATATTATAAACGGGACTGGGAATGTAACTACATAATTTAAAAATACATAATCAAATAGAAACAAAATATATTACAATTACAAATTAAAATTATGTCAATAGAGTCCTAATAAGTAAGAAATATTTATTTACAAAATACAATTAGGAATCGTTTAGTGTTTTAAAGTAATACTATATCAATCTCTTTATTCAAGATAAATAAGTGCAGTCTTTAAAATATTTAATATTTTAATAAAGGGTCTTTAGGTCATGTCAAAATACACTGAAAAAATTACTTTACTTTAAATAAACATTGTATATTAAAAGAACCAGATTTTCACAATAAAAAAAAGTCTGTTCTCTCGCCTATTTGTATAAACTTTAGGTCATAATTATTATCTACTCTTTCAATTTTTTTCACACAGTAAAATGCAATAAAATAAGTATGTATATAATAAAACACAAATCAGCGATGTTGAATTGACTATTAGTTTTGTAACAGTTGTTGGTACATTTGTTTACGTATATATTATTCACTAATAATTCGAATAAAAACCAATTTAAAATCATAGTTATAAAATAATTTAGCCATACATGATATAAAACACGCTAATTTGTTAATCTCTAATGACTTAGTTTAAGTATTTTATGTAATTTATTTTCAAAATACAAAATTGAAATAAAAACAAAAATAAATTACACATAGACAAACTGATAGCTATAATAGTAAATGTATGGCAGTTTAAATTGGATACTTATTTTAAAAGTTCAAATATTTTAAATCTAAAATAAATCATTATAGGTTTTAAAAGAGCAGTTTGTTCAATATATTACACTATACATCAATGGATATAAATGCTAAAAACTAAAACTCGGTACACAAATAAAAGGGAAATGTAAAAACGTTTGAGTTAAAATTTTTACACTTGAATTATAGTTACTTTTAACCACCTGAGTTTGTTGTTTCTTCATCATCTTCGTCATCAAAACCAAAACAATTTTCAACGCCATCACCACATTCTTGTTTCACGTCTAACAGAGACGCTGTTTTTAATAATGTAAGGTCTTTTTGACTTGGTGCTGTATAATAAATAGTTTCATTTGAGAATTAAATTAAAATTAAATTAAAATTTGTAATTACAAGAAGATTGATTTGCTTGTTGTATTGATACACTTGTTGATGTGTAACTAATCTATCTGATCTGACCATCAGTTGATCACTTCAAGTACAACATATTGCTGTCCATCATCGCCTTCTACTGCATACAACTCCGTTTCACTTGTTGGAATACTTGTGTCCTCCTCAGATTCATCCTCATTAGCTGAATCTGTATACTGCAATATTTTATTATCAAGAATTATTCTTTAATTTTATCCACAATGAATCACATATTAATTCTTAAAATGTTGAGCTTATACTACACATTCAATTTGGTTCCCACTCTTTACATATAGTTTACACATTGTACAGTTATTTCACATCATATATATAATATGTGATTGTATTTTCTAACTTCTATTTTTTATTCTTTCATAGCCATTATAGTATTGGGAATTTATCTAATTACGTGTAATACCACATATTAAGAGGACGTGATAGCCGCATGTGTTGTCTCCGTCTTACAAGTGCATACAATACAAATTAATACGCAAAGCAGAACACGTGTAGCTCCGTTAGTCTTAAAATTAGAGTAAATTGACCTCTTATAAAATCTAAAGTATTTTAAAATGGTAAATTTTTTGTACATTTTAAAGTACTCATACTCATTAAAAATTAAAATATAATAAAAGCTCATGGGTGTGTTTAGATAATAATCTTACCTTTAGATTTTATAAGAGGTCAATTAACTCTAATTTTTAAGCTAACGGAGCTACACGTGTTCTGCTTTGCGTAATTTGCTATTGTTTATGTACTGTAAGACGGAGACAACACATGCGGGAGTAGTTACGTCCTCCTAACCAGTATATTGGCCACTTTTATGTTTGATAATAATGACAAAAAAAACTAATAAATTGATAATTCATTTAAACTGGACGGTTTCGATAAGCTAATTAAACTAAAAAGATTGCAGACAAAGAGTTTAGCAATCAGCCAGGCAAAAAACCAAAAAAATTGATTACAATCAATTATTATTGTAGTATGCTGTACAGGACTAGGTCAAAAATTTCTACTGGAAAATTAAAATAAAAAATTGACCCACTTAGGTATACCTATAAAAACAACCCTAAAAAAACATATTTTCATATAAAATTATCATATATTATTTTGAGAATTTGAACACTTAATATTATAATTAAAAATTAAAAAAATTAAAAATTGGTTAGTGCAAATAAATGTTTATCAGTTTTATTAAAATAAATTATATTCATACTCCAGAATACACATTAATACATATCATTAAGCAATTTGTTAAGGTTTGAGCTTTTTTACAAAATTGTGTCCACCGAGCACATTATTATACCTTAGTCAGCAACTATGGCGGCCCTGAATAGGTGGGAATTTGTTTGATGATAATTGTCGCACATTTTGATGGGTGCAGCGGTACATTATGATAAGCTAGGGATTACCAATTAACGAAGACATTAAGACAATAATATGACACAACACACAAGCATCAATTTTTGACAATTTATACATATTTTCATATCTATTTTGAGGAATTTCTTTAACTCTAATTAGTTATCTGATACAATGCGAATATGCGTATATGTTTGTCGACAGGATGAGCCTTATCCGATAAACCTAAAAAAAAACGTCCCTACAAGTACAATCGGCCACCGAGAAACTCCCAGGATCCCGCCTGCCCAGTCCGGCCCTGGTAGTATGTATTTTTCTACTAATTTTTAATTTAATTTAACCCTACACAACATGAGTATCTACCATATTACTTCTTTTCTCCATTGGCGAGTTTGCCAGTTTCGTGTGGTACAGATTTATCTATGCTAAACAGATAGATGCAACACTGAACAAGCCGTGTTCACTGATAATAGGCTGCATAAGAGCACTTCATTGCCCAGAAAGGTACAAAGTTGAAATTGACATACAACTCTTTACATGGACTTAATTTACACAACTAATTTCCAACTCAAGTCCAGGAGAGCTTTTCAAAGCAATAAAAGCCATGGTTAAGTCTCCAGTACAAAGAGAAAGATGGAAACTCTCCCTAAATAACAGTAAACTTGAGATTGAGTCAATGGAATTCCTTAAAAAAGGATAAAAACTTGACTGGCCCACCTCGATCTCAGAATGGGAGTATGCTAAGCTAAATACAACTTATAGAAATAGGAAGGAATTGACACAGGACTCCATAAAATACAAAAGCGGTAATGAACAAAACATGAAAAATAAAATATTGAACTGTCCAAGTAACCCAACAACACCATCCACTGACAACTATGTTACTTCCTCACAATACTGTAGTAGACAAATAATACTCATTAATTAATGAATATTATAACTGACCCTTAATAAACTATCACTCATCACTTACATAAAGCATATTTGTAAATTGTACACAAAAACGTTATCATTATTTAAGGCAGATTTAAAGGACAAAGTAATTTATTTAGATATTTAAAATACTAAATTTATTAAGGTCAACATTTGAGTTAAAATACCTATACAGTAATACGGATATATTAACTGATGTTCTATGGATAAAGTCACTACTTAACAAATATTCCAAAATTATTTTTATTTGTATCAAATGATACTTAAAGAGCTTTAAGTAGAAAATTTAATAATAAATTTTAAATAAAAATACCTCTAGTCTTTGTTTTAATGCTGTATTTCGATCATTTCCAGTGGATTCTTGCATATGAACTTCCATATGTCTTAGTAAATTTCCTTTATGTCTAAATGATCGTTGGCATGTATTACACTGATGAGTTTTGGCATGTGGTGGAGGTGGTATATATGCTGGATTATGATACAGATTATGATGACGGCGTAGTAATTGTTTTTGTCTGAATGACTAGAATAAAATAAAAATTAAGTTTAGTTGATATTATATTATCGTATACAATAATTGTTTAAGCAAATTAAAATAATTTACCTGATCACATAGTTTACAATGGAATGGTTTTTCATCTGTATGTATTAACATATGAGTTTCAAGATGACGCTGAGACATGGAAGCATAAGGACACAATTCACATTTATAACATTTTTCCCCTTCGTGTGATTTACAGTGAACCTATAGAATATGTTATTAGATAATATTAATGGAAAATGTATACTTCAATACCTTGTATTGGTAACGATCAGGGAACGCATCACCACATCGTTTGCACTTAATAGGTTTGTCGGAAGTATGAAGCTTTTGTACATGAATACGTAAATCAGTTTTTCGACCACAAGTGGCTGGACAATGGTCACATTTAAATACAGGTTTTTCACCTAGAACCAAAATTTAATAATTGTTGTACTATAAAATATTAATAATTACAAAAAAATAAAATTTACCGCTATGTATTAGTCTGTGTTTTTAAAACTGTTGGATTGGGTAAACCTAGAAAAGCAAATATCACATTCATATGGTTTCTCACCAGTGTGTATACGCAAATGGCGCTTCAATTTAAATGTATCTGGACTTGCATAAGTACAATGGGGACACTAAATAAAAAATTAATTAACATTTAGCTATAACTTATAAAGGGAATATTATGTTTGATAGTAAATACTTGGTACGGTCTTTCACCAGTGTGACATCTCATGTGGTTTCTCATTTTGCTAAGTTCTACACTAGCATAATCACATATTGTACATTTATGTGGTTTTTCATGAGTATGCTTATACCGAACATGTCTAACAAGTTCTCCTGTAACATAGATAAATATAAATATTTTATAAGAAAACAAAGCGGTTTTAAACATAATATAATATTAAATACTTAAGACTAAGAGCTAATAAATTTGCATACCTGATGTAGTAAATGCACTTGGACAACTTCGACATTGATATGGTTTTGTTCCAGTATGAGTATTAACATGATTTTGCAAAGAAGTTAGAGTTTTGAATCCACGTTCACAAACAGTACACTTATGAGGACGTTCTTTAGAATGAGACTTCATATGACGAGACAACAAATACCTAAAAGAAGAAATTTTAAATTTCATAAAAAAAAACAAAATATAATAGAAATATTAGGTGGTAAGTATAAACTAATATTGCATTAAAAAAAAAAATGAACTGAAGACATTTTGAAACTTGTTCAGAACCAATAGAAGGAAATATAAATTACCTTTTTCCAGTAGTGTAATTACAATAATTACACATATGTGCTTGTGTCACAGTCTGTGACTTTTTAGGTACTAATTTAAGTATTTTAGATTTATCATCTTCTTCGCCTGAATCCTAAATATATATTATATTAGTAATATTAATAATAATAAATAATAAAAGTGGTATTGTTTTTTTTTATAAACTTACTATAATTTCCTGTTTTTTTATTAGAGTTGGATCTTCACCATCATTAAAATCATATACATTATTTACAATCAGGATCATCAGGATCAGGGTCTTCTTGAGAATCTCCATACTACGGCTTGTTTCATCACTTTATCACTTTGTTGTGACTACATAAAGAACGTAATTGTTGGCCGTTCCGCGTCAGCTTTGAACAAGAGTGACTGTTTGATACCCACTACCATCTCCTAAAGCAACAATCTAAAATTTCAAACATTTTATTATCAGTATTATTCATTAATCATAATTTATAAATTTAATTTACTTGGGGGATATCTTTTTTAATTTTATCTTGTACATTAGGCAGAACAATTTGAGTTACGTTGTCCATATTGTTATCATTTGTGTTAGCCATCATTTGTGCATCGTGTTCTGAAAGTCCTAAAATTTAAATAAGTTTTTTAAAAAATGTGATATTTTAAATTTCAATAACTTTGAACTTGTATGTACCCTCCAAACCATAACCATCTGGCCATCTCCTGTAGTTTGTTTGATTAATATATTGGACATTTTGATCTATGAAATATGCATGTTCTACTGACTCTCCATCTAAATTAATTATTTTATTAAAATTTAAAATAAACTTTTAAGTAAAAATAATTCTTACCAGTTTGTACTTGGGTTACTTCATTTCCTTCAATCTCTTTATTAAATGAATCCAAGTAATTTTGTATATCTGTTATATTTTCAGTGCACGAGGTTGTAGCCTCCAATTTTATATGAGTCCCATCAATAGTCATGGTATTTGCGGATGATCCACTATCTAATACTAATAAACAATTGCTAAGTTACAGGTAGTAAATACATACTAAATGGGTGCTGGTTACTTATTCAAGAGTAATGTTGTTTGAATTTAAAAACAAAACTATTAATTTAATTTAAATTGGAACATGGTGTGATATACCACACATAAAATTGGTTTTCATGTCAGATATAACTCGCCAACTTGGTTATTGATTGATATCGTTAATTTATAAGTCCAAAAATATTTTATAACAAAGTCCCATTGACAGAATCAATTCATAGCAATGGGTCAGCTAATACAAGAACAGAGTTTTTAACTTTAATTTATACAAACCTTTATTTTATAAATACCTAACAAATGTATATACACATATTTTAATTGTAAGCTAGAACCTAATAATATTACATTTAAATATTTTATTTTCATTAGTATATACGTGAGGTTTGTTTTATTTGTTTTTTTTTTTATCAATAATTAACTAACCTGAATATTATTATTTATAAGAGTAGCTACCTAGGCAGGGCCTGATTTAAGCATTTTGTGGACTTAGGCAAAATAAAAATTGTGGCCCCTTGTTAACAGTAGCGTTTATAACTTTATAAGCCCCCCCCTCCACAAACGAGTTGTATAAAAACAAAATAATAATTGATATCAATTTAGTATTTACTTCTACATTTTCACAAACATAATTTTTAATGTTATACATTTTGTATCCTACAGGCTACAGATTTCTTCTACCAATTAGTTATTAATTTAATATAATATAGATATTTATTATTGATAGTGAAAACAAAATCAAACATTTCTTATTTTTATATGCATTTATTTAACTGTAAGAATATTTTTATTTTATAAAATTATAAGAAAAATAATTAATAAGCTATTTTATAATATTACTTTTCTTCCTTTTTTTAAAACAATTCATGTATTAGTCATCGAAGTTTAAAGAGCGGCTCCTACACAATCAAATGATTACACAATAATCAGATATTGTGCAAAGATTATTGCCGTCTAGTATAGATAATGGAAGGATTGTACAATATATAAGAATCAAACAGGGGTGGAAATTTATTGTAAAATATCAACTATATTGTACAATAGTATTGATCGTGTAGGGACCGCTAAAGAGATGTAAGATCGCTTTTCTATTATAGTAAACCCTAAGGTATCAATTTTTTCTTATTAAAAATAGACTTTTATTTATTTCATTTACATTTAGGCTGATAAGGATTACTTATTTAATTTTTTGAAATATTATATGTTTTCTTATATTATTTTATACGATGAAATAGTGACTTACCTTAAAATAAAAAATAATGTCCATAAAAATCCGGGCCCTCTAATAACTGGAGGCCATAGGCAGTTTGCCAATTCCTGCCTTATGGTAAATATATGGCCCTGTGTACCTAGGTACAAAAATTAAAAAGATATCTATTCGGAAGATACAATTTTTTTGAAAATATTACTTTTGAATATATGCATTTGTACAGAAGCTCCTCCCGGTGGAAAGTAAAGTATTTTAAGATTTCTATGAAAGTTGAAATAACTAAACTAGTTGCATACTATTATTGATATATTATGGTATGGATAGTATTATGCATACGCTAAGTTGAGTAATCTAGTAACCATATTAGGAGTTCATTAACATAAGATACTAATTATTTCTTACAAAAATTGGTTGACCTTAAATTCACTTAAATTTGGACAGAGCATTAAAAAATTTAAAAAGTATAGTCCGTCATATTAATTCCGTAGAAATAATATAGTTATTACTATATTACTAATATAAATGGTACTAGCTACAACCCATAACCAAGTAGTTTTTAGTTACATTCCATAAATAAATATTCAAAACGACTTTATTACGTTTGTTTTAATATAAATGTGTAGATATTTTTTTACTATATAGGGTGTATCTTTTATCCTGGAACACTACATTCTTTCACGAAGTGTAAATGTTTTTTTAAAAATATTATCTTACATAGTTATGAGTTGTTTAAAAAACAACATTTGTATAAAAAAATTATATTTTAAAATATTTTTTATACTTGTAATTTTTTAAGTGTTTACTTTTTTAAATGATAACATAGAGTTTTAATTTCATATTCCAAAGCCGAATATTTCTCTAAGTATTTCGAAACATAAAAATTGAGTTTAGGGCGAGAAGTTTATGAGTTATAAGTATTTAGAGTTTTGATGAGCAGAGTGGAGTGGTACGGGGGGTTATGCCGCAAAATGTTTATCCACTACTTCACTCATCTAAACTTTACGAGGACGTCACACCCGCATATCTTGTCTCCGTCTTACATGTATACAACATACCAAATTTTACCCTCAGCAGGTCACGTTTAGCCCCGTTAATTTTAAAATTAGAGAGAATTGACCTCATATAAAATTTAAAGGTGAGAATATTATCTAGGGCATCCATCGGCTTTTTGTTATATTTTAATTTTAAAGTGAATTATGAGTATTTTAAAATTGTAATTTGTTTATATATATTTTAATACTCATAACTCAATTTAAAATTAAAATATTACAATAAGCCGATGAGATGCCTTAGATTATATTCTTACCTTTAAATTTTATAAGAGGTCAATTCACTCTTAATCGTTAAATTAACGGGGCTAAACGTGATTTGCTATGTCGTATACGTGTAAGACGAAGACAATACATGCGGGTGGGATGTCCTCTTAAATACTTATAACTCATACACTACTCGCCCAAAATTCAATTTTTATGTTTCGAAATACTTAGACAAATATTCTACTTTGGAATATGAAATTAAAACTCTGTTATCATTCAAAAAATTAAAAAACTTAAAAAATTATAAGAAAAAAATATTTAAAATATAATTTTTTAATATAAACGTTGTTTTGTAAAAGACTTGAAACTTTGAAAAATAATATTTTCAAAAACATTTACACTTCTTGAAATAAAGTGTTCAATGATAAAAGAATCACCCTGTATAATTTACAGAAATTTAAGATCTTTAACAATATTTTTATTTTAGGTTTAGAATAAGGGAAAAGCAATTTTAAATTATTCAAAATTTCTTATAATTTTTAATATACGGCAGGGGTGGTCAAACTTATTTTGATTAAGATCTACTGAGGGTATATTTTTTCTTTTAGGATCGACTAATGTAAAAAAATAATTTAATATTAATAATAAATATACTTATACAAACAATAAAATTAAAGTGTTTAGTTATCTAAAATGAATGTTTCATGTTAAATTTTTAAGTAATTTTAAAATGTATTAACATTTTACTGTTGATGTAGAAGCGTGTCATTGCACATCATGACCAAGCGAAGACGCTGTGCTAAAGTCTAAAACTAACCTACTCAACTTCTATAAATTATAAATTTCATGTGAGAAAATGCCATTTCACACTAACAGGTTAATCCGAAACATATGAATTTAATAAGTGTATCTACTAAATTGCAAATATATAAGAATAATTAAAAAATTCTAACAATGGGGATCGACTTAGAAATCGTTCAAGATCGACCAGTCGATCGCGATCGACTGTTTGGCCACCCCTGATATACGGGATCTAACTGGAAGACCTGAGAAATACAAAATATTTTGTTCTAATCGATATTTTTTAATTTTTAATTTTATATATAATTTATTGACTCTTGCACTACATGTATAATATAATTATTTTTTATTTGTTTAATACTGAAAATAAAAAATTTTCAATTTGCAAATCTGGTTTTTAGAAAAATGTTGATGATAAAAACATTTATTTAAGTCATGTAATTTATTTTTTATAATTTTTTAATATGTCCAAATTGTTTGGAGTAAGACTCATTAATTTGAAAAGTAATAACTTTTTAAATAAATACTTGGATTTTAACAAGTACTTATTCAGAAATTATAGTAAAATATTTAAAAAAGTTTATACTTTTTAAATTTTAAATGTTTTCTACGACTAGATCAATATTATTTAACAAAAATAATGGGATTTCAAAAAATTGGAGAAAATAAACTTACTTACATAGCTTACTTAAATAAATGATTTTACAACAAATTTTTTATAATAACTATATTTACAAATTGGCTATTTTGAATATTTCAAAAAAAAAAAATTCAAAACAGATATAAAATATTTAATTTTCAGTATTAAAAATATTGATTAGAAGCAGTTATTTCATTTGATTTGTCTTTTAGTTTTATAGGTAATATTATGTGTGCTTGCTGTTGGCTAAGGTAAAAGTATAAATACCGGGAAAACAAAGGGATAGTAAAACCTAGAATTTACTGATTGTGCTTGGTTAGTTCTAAAATATACTATGAAATAGGTCAAACCCTGAATGATTTATTTGGTTCTTGCTTTTTCAAATGAGAAATGGTAAGTCTTAGTATACAGTTTTTTGTAGTTAGGTTAAGCAAAGTATAAAAAATATTCCAAAAATAAAATGTCCAATTGAGTACGATGATATTCGAGATGGTATTTAAAACAGGTTCTATACATTTAAATAAAAAAAAAAGTATTATTAATAAATATAAATGTATCTAAAAAATACATGTTTGTTAATTATCAATAAATACCTATTGATGAATAAGATACCTAATTTTAACTTTGTTTTTTAATAAATTATGTACTGACAATAGTCAATCATGCACTAACAATAATGATATTGTATATGGTAATAATTTTATATTATGTTCAAATTTTATTTAATATCATTTTCATAACTAAATATATAATTTAAACAAGTAGTAAGATATATCTCATACTGCAATAATAGGAAACCTCAAACCTGTAATTGTAAATATCATCATCATAATATTTCAATATTATATATTTTATATTATAATATGTAATATTTTTAAATTTTTAAATAGTTACTAATTTAACTGCAACGTATCTGAATGAGATAGGTATTTTGTTTTTTATATCTATTTCAGACATTGACCATAATAGATAGTTTATTCTAAAATTTACCATACCTATCTTGTTTGTAAGAGCCAGAACTACAATAATCATTCATGGCTAAACCAAATAAATTTACCAAGATCAATTGGTAAAAGTCCGAGATTCAAGTTTTTACCAATTAAACCTTGGGTTTCCTGGTATTTGTACGTTTACAATATCATATAAATTATAACTAATATATTTTATAAACTATATCTGTGATTTAAAGCTACCATAATTTCTTCTCTGTTCATGGTATTAATTAAAATTTTATTAATTTAATAAGTAGGGATTTAATACTATTTCCCCTAACATTAGATTTATAATAATTAAGCATAATATAAAGTAACTATAAACTAAATTACCAATAGTTCCTTCGTTTTCAGACATTGTCGAGGTCTTGTTAATTAAATACCTATAATCAAACATTCACGTTATTGTTTAGATAATAATATTAAATTACTAAAGTAGTAAAATGTACATAATATATTATTTAACACAGCTAACACTACAAATTCGCTAGATAAAACCGGTATGAAAAATAATGCACTGCCGCACTGGGATGTTTGGACCATATAGTTTACATGGTTCATTATTCCAGTGCGGGATAATGTAGGATAATTTTAAACCGGTCTAGTTTAGCGAATTTGTGGACTAACTATACCTACCTATATTAATAAATAGTAAATATTTGGAACCAGAGCACAAGTCAAACACGGTCACCAAGGGTTGACACTGACTACAACATTGTAGGTATTCAATGTTTACTTGATAAGAATAACATAATATCAGTTTGGAATGTTAGGATCAAGAACAACTGTTTAAATTTAAAAAATCAAATATAATATTTCGTAGGGCAAAAAATGCATGTAACCGAGGTCACCAGTAACTCGCGTCCTGAAGGAGGGTTGGTAATAATATTAAAAATTAATGAAACGATAAAAACAATCAAAAATATTTTTTTTCAAAAATTAAATATTATTATTTATTGCGGTAGTAGAGGAGGAAAAACGAATGAAAAAATTAGGACGGTGCACACAAACGCGGTAATAAGTTAGAACAAAGAAAAAATATGTAGGTATGATATACCACATCTATCGTAACAACTAATATTATGTCGTGCTAAAGCACAATATTATTATTGATTAATCAAAAACATAGAACAATATAGAAGCGACACTCGATCAGCTGATGGGTGAAGTGTTTACCTATGATCTGAAGTCCGAACATTCAAACTGTTTCCGTTTATCAACATGATGTTATACCCGTATTGAAAAACCGTTTCCGCTTAATAGGCAGGGTATTCTGCGCGGGGTCGGGTTGTTTCCAGCATAGAAAAATTGTTTCCACTGTTTACTGTTACGTATGCCACGCCCCTCTAGAGACCATTTTCAAGGCCACAATCGCCCGATCCGACCAATTCACGGAGTGTCGTACCCCTGTCAAAAACGACGGTTTGGAAAGGGCAGGAGGGCGACATGATAAGGATTAACAACAACAACAACAACAACAGCAACAACAATATCTCAACGACATATGAAAAATTAAAATTAAAAATATGAAAATGTAGATTGGGATTTGGGATCGCTTCGTGTAAATTTACAATTTTTTTAGGGGACGGGGGTTCTTTTGCGATAAAGGCGATTAGAAAATTAAACGCCCAGGTGTCGTACTTTAGTACACATTTTCTTACGTGTTTCTGAGGCCAATTGGCAATTGCAAGGGGCGACAAATTAAAGCAATAGGCAGGGGGTGAAATGCCGAATGTCAGTTCGTAAGGCAAGTAAGTAGTAACTAGTCACAAATCGTTGACGGACAACCAAATCCGAATGACGAAAATCCATTTCGGGCAACTGCGGGCGGTACCATTCACTATAATTGAACTAGAGTTCTAGAATTAGAGTAGTAAATACTAAATACTGAGTACTGAGAACTAAGAAGACAGTATGACAGTTGTAGAATACTATAGATCTAGATGTCTAGATGATAGGAATACTATCGAATTGCATAATGTATAATAATATTATACTTAACAGATAGGTACCTACAATAATTGAATAAATTATAGATAAGACGCGGAAGAAATCACGGAACCGTCTACGAAACGCTGCCTATCGGGAATTAAGAAAAGAGACATTGTCGCGTCGTGCACATCCAAACATATTATTATTATTCTACTACTTACACGTTTTGTACACGGGGGGCATCATTAACAGCCGCGGAGAGACATATATATTAATCCTATGAAAGCGCCACCACACGGCAACCGTACACATATTATTTTACGACGCGCCGTTGGCCGCGGCCGCCACCGCCGCGCTGCTCATGTAGCTCATGAACGACGCTCAGTGCTCACAATTATTAACGACGACAACGGGTATCAACAATCAAGAGTCGAGACTCGAGACTCGAGAGTGACGGTGACTACAACGACAAACGCGCACGCGAGTAGCGACCGATCGACGACGCGTTAAAAACTAACATTACCATATTGATATTGTATTGTGGGGTATGTGTGCGCGACGACAAAGAATCGTATTCATTAATAATACCATAAGTGTTGTTATTATTATTGCTATTATCGGACGAAGAGTTGACGATAGTATCGTACATTCGCACCTCAGCACTGAGTCACAGATTACAGTCGAAATCCTCCGATCTCGTTACGTCAAGTTAGGTACCGAATTAACGATGAGTAGATATTCTGTACTTACGCGGTATTCGCGAAGGCGGCTGTGGTGTAGTGTCAGGCGTCCGTTGAGATGGCGCCGGCGCGACGACGTTTTAATATTATGATTATATTACGGTTTATTCAGTGGTAGTCGTTTACGCGACTACGCGTTTACAAAACGGTGAACCGTAATCGGACGGGCGTCGGGAAACGGCGATCGTCGGTGCGCGCAGCGGTTTCGGGGACGGCACGCATACGCCCGATGACGGGGACGGAGGCGGCACGGGTACGGGTGTCAAAAAACGGCCGCCATTTTTTTCCAATCCTGACTGTTGTTACATACCGTATGGCGTATAGTGTTTATGACGTCTTGTTACATCCGATACAACGACGAGTGCCCGCCTTTTTTGACGACGTGCCTGAACGCGGTAGTCTGGCACAACCAAAGACGTTCGAAACGCAAACATTTTCCCGCCAATTATTCAAAACAATAATGCTGAATAAAAAACTAAATTGCTGATTTAAACATTCTAGCCTATAGGAATCTAAGATACTGGATAACAGTGGCGTCCGCAGGGGGGGGCTAACGGGCTAAAGCCCCCCACCCCATTGCCCGTATTATTATTACTTTAAAAAAAAAATATGAATCAAGTTTAAACTGTCAACTATAGTAAACAAGACGTAAATTTCATACATGTCTTACCAGAATAATGAATTCATTTTTGAAAAAACATTGTATTTACATACCAATTTTCATAAATTATCTGTAATTTTTCGGTAAAAGAATGAACTACTTGTATGAAAGACCTTGTATTAAATTGTCTAGCCTTAGCTATACGCCTATACATATTTTATAAGTTTTGAACTACAAATTAACTGTGGTTAAATTGTTTTGAACTTTAAATGCATATGTAAAAAAAAACTTGTGTATTACATTTTTAAGCTTTTCGACCGGATAAATAATTTTTTATTGACATTTATAAAAAAAAAATTTAATTAGTCAAATACAATCCAAGTGAGGACTATATAACCAAGCAGGGGCGTATATAGGATTTTCTTTAGGAGGGGGATATCAAAATTTGTTTTGTGCTATTGCAACTTTTTGTTAGTTACCTACTCCATGTAAGGTATATAATAATAATAAATGTTGTGTAATGTCACTCACATGCCCACAGGATAACAAAATTATAAATAACAACAGTACTGCAGCAGTTTGTACTTTATACATGGAAAAACATGGGTAAGGGAGTGGTTCTATCCCCCATATCCCCCCCATAAATACGTCACTGTAACCAAGCTATTGTTACCAAACAATTTAAATAAGTTTTCATTTTTTTTTCTCCAATTAGGTACTTTTAAAAGCACTGAGCAGATTCAATTTTGACCTCCTAAAAGTACCAACTAGATCCAATTTGCTTCCAAAAACATACACTGGGCATCGAAGCTTATGATAAGAGCATTTTTTCTACCAGAAAAGTTGAAAAGTTACAAACATTTTAAAATACCTCAAATAAACGTCTGAAATTTTTAGACTGGACAAAATAAAAATAAATTTGTAACTAATTTTCAAGCCCCCCCCCCCATTGAAAAATCCTGCGGACGCCACTGCTGGATAAGAATAACTTTTTATTTCAATACAAACACTGTGAAACAAAAAATATATTCTTGTTATAACAAGTTGGTTGTTGACTTTTTTGATTTTCAAAAATAACATAAAACTAATTCTATACGAAATACATATCCTAGGATTTGAAATAAATAATAAAAACTACAAAAATGGCTAAATATGGATAATATTCAATATAAGAATCAAAAATACCAAATCAGAATTTGAATAAATTAAATTTATACTTAATTTAGAAACGAAAATAGGATTGATAATGAATAATGATCATTGTCATATTGCCATCCTTTTAAAAAGGTACACGTTCCCTCTTACTCTGAGATCTGAGTGGTAGTCAATGGTGTTTTTAATATAATATATCGCGGCAGGGGTGGTTCCAGGGATGGTAGGGGAGGGGAGCTAAGTCATCATTATCAGAAAAATTTTGATATTATAAATTATAATATGTTTTTTTTGTATTTTTTTTTCAAAATATGTGTTTTTCATGGCTAATTTTATGGTACTTTCAAAAAAAGCCGGTCGAACTTATTTTGGAAGTTATGGTCAAAAAACTTAAAAATGCTCAATTTTTCAAAAATAGTGTTTTTGAATTTAAAATACAGAAAATTTAAGTTTTTAGAATTTTTCTTTTTTAGAAATGTTTGTATTTATATGCTCAACATTTTGGTGGAATAAGAATTTGCCTATCGTACTTACTTTTTACGTTATTGTAAATAAACCACATAAATATGAATTATAAAGTTATTTTAAATTACTTGGGAAACTCAAAATTGATTTTTTTGACTCTTTTTTCATTCGATGAGTAATAACATAAATAAGTTTTTGGTGAAATCAGAACTAACTTATATTTTTTGGTTTGGAAAAAATTTGTTTACACGTTGAACTCCGCGAGGGTTTTTGGCGCAGAGCCCGCGTCGCCAAGGCAAAATTACGTACGGACGTACGGTCGACAAAGGCGACCCGGGCTACGTTACCCGAGCTACGTTACCCGTAATGTCGAATACCCGTTGACAATGTCATTGAACGTATTAAAAATAACAAGCAATAAAAAATCAAAATGTACAGATTTAGATAATGTAATTATATTAAATCAGT